AGTTTCTATTACATGTTTCTTTTCCTTAATTATTTCGGCTGACAGTTCAACTATTTCCTTTGGTTTTACAGTTAACTCCTCGATAGCCTCGATACGTTCATCCTTCTTCTTTGGTATTTTCTTTGTCTTCGTGACTTTCTCTTTCTCTAGTGGTGTTTCCTTGACATCAATTTTCATAATTTCAACCGAGTCTTTGTCATCTACAAAAAGTTGAGCCTTTTGAAGTTCTGCTTCTTTTATCACAATTTCTTCTACAGTTTCCTCAGGTATTCTATTAATTGATTCTTCTCGCTGTAAGAATATAATAAAAATATGTTATGATATATTAAATAAAACAAGTTGTACTTTAGCTTACCTGATACATTTCTTCTCTGGTACCTAAAAGACAAAAATAAGAAATTAGATCAGAAAGAAGATTACGTAATAAAAAAAGCCTTTAATTAACGACTGTATTTTAATGTGTAGTCAATAATATTAATAGGTGTCAATAATATTAATATTACATATAATATAAGTATTAATAGATAACCAGTAATGATATTATCTTACGTTCCTCTTTTCAGTTTTAATATAAAAATCTGTTGATTGTGTACGTCAAAAAATAGTAAAGAAGAAATGTATGTTTCAAAAGAACGTAAACATTAGTAAGCGCACAAAGTAAAAACCTAACTTACCTTCCAAAACTTTTTTATTGACTCTATATTTTATCAATCCATCGTGTTTAGGTTTAATGTGTATTTCTGGTGTAGTGTCTGCGTCAAGATCATTTGCGGCTCCTACCTCCTGTATCTCATTATCCACATTGCCGACAGTCATTCCTTCGGGAATTTGTTCGATAATTTTCTTTTTGGTGATCTTCTTCGGTTTCTTTCCTTCCATTATTTCCTCAGTTACTGTCACTTGCTCTCTCACTTCCTCCTTTTTAAGTGGCTTTGCGAATTCGGGAGATGGAAGAGGATAAGTCGTTTCTTCGACGATTTCTTCTACCGGGCCTTCCACAAGTGTCGTAACAGGTAACTGATCCTTTTCCTCTACAGTTGTCTCCTCTGTCACTTGCTGCTTTTGCCCTTTTCGTTTAATAATTTTCTTTTTGGTAATCTTTTTCGGTTTCTTTCCTTCGACTATTTCCTCAGTTACTGTCACTTGTTCTCTCACTTCCTCTTCTTCAAGTGGTTTTGTGAATTCGGGATATGGAAGAGGATAAGTCGTTTCTTCGACAATTTCTTCTATAGGACCTTCTAGAACTGTCGTTACAGGTAACTTATGTTTTTCCTCTACAGTTATCTCCTCTGTCACTTGCTGCTTTTGCCCTTTTCGTTTAATAATTGTCTTTTTGGTAATCTTCTTCGGTTTCTTTCCTTCGACTATTTCCTCAGTTACTGTCACTTGCTCTCTCACTTCCTCCACTTCAAGTGGTTTTGCGAATTCGGGATATGGAAGAGGATAAGTCGTTTCTTCGACAATTTCTTCTATAGGACCTTCTAGAACTGTCGTTACAGGTAACTTATCTTTTTCTTCTACAGTTGTCTCCTCTGTCACTTGCTGCTTTTGCCCTTTTCGTTTAATAATTTTCTTTTTGGTAATCTTCTTCGGTTTCATTCCTTCGACTATTTCCTCAGTTACTGTCACTTGCTCTCTCACTTCCTCCTCTTCAAGTGGCTTCGCGAATTCGGGATACGGAAGAGGATAAGTCGTTTCTTCGACAATTTCTTCTATAGGACCTTCTAGAACTGTCGTTACAGGTAACTTATCTTTTTCCTCTACAGTTGTCTCCTCTGTCACTTGCTGCTTTTGCCCTTTTCGTTTAATAATTTTCTTTTT